CTGGTCTTGAACTCACAGAGATCTGCCTGCCTTTGCCTCCCGAGTACTGGGATTAAAGGCGTGCGCCACCAATACCCGGCGAAGGAAAAATTCTAAAAAGAAAATAGAAGTAAAGTGCCATCCATTGTATGAAATGTTTTAGTCGCTCTGGGGATTGAACCCAGCACCTTGCACATGCTAGGCAAGTACCCCACTATTGACTAATATCCTTTGCCTCAGATGCTTCTTAAAATAGGCCATTTTATGTGTTGAATGGGCCTTAGGAACCATGTAACCTAACCATTTCATTTGATTGATATAGAGGACCCTAGTATCCTGTCCAAGGGTGCCTCTTAACACTCCACACTCTTTACTCAGTCCATGTTCTATTCTGGTTGCCCACAACAATGATTTATGGAGTTTAAAAATGTAGTATGGCACTGGTTGACTAAGACTGAGCGGCAGCAACCTCTGGCCCATTCCATCAAGAAAAGCCACAGACCTAGTCCAGTTGGTAGCATTTCAATACAAAACAGATTCAGCTCCAGTGATAAAAATCTAGTCCCACCCAAAGATGTAGTAATCATTGAAGATTCAACTGCAGCTAAAAATCCACCAAATGTGCAGCCTGCAGGCACAGCCCCATCCCTACATGGAGATGATGCTCACAGCACACCTGCATTCCCAGACCATTTCTGGGTTCATGGCCTCTAAAGAATCAAGATCTCCCTAGATAATGTGTTGTCTCCCAAGTGTGCTGTTTTCTGACTTGGCCAGTCCTAAACATCTCAAGATTATTTTTAGTAACAAATTGGTCCTTGAGAAGACATTAGTGTACAAATAAGATATGGCATTGCAAAACGGTGGGCCCAGGATATTTCTCTATCTGTAAGGAGTGATTGTGTGGTGGTGCCTGCTTAGCACTGAAGATACCCAGGTGATGCCCTGGTTTTGGTTCATTTTTCTGAATGTTCCCTGCTTCCAACATGCTGCATGTGATTATTGGTGGATTTCATAAGGTCAGTCTCAGTCATTGTTAACTTTTGGTCTTTAATGCTCCACTTTCATTTGTAGGCCATGGCAGTAAGCTATTGGATTACAAGGACCAACAGTTAAGTGGCTGGTATTAGGTATTTTCCTGCTGATCATATTGCCTTGAGCCCCACTCGGTCCTGATGTGTGGTCTTCCTCATTGGTTAGTTTTGTGTCACTCAGAACTGGGGTTTTATAGCTTGTTTGATTGCTATGTCTTGTCTTCAGTGCTTTTTATTGTGGAATATATTTAATGAGATTTTATCAAAAAAAAAAGCTGGGTGGTGGTGGCACACAACTTTAATCCCAACACTCTGGAGGCAGAGGCAGGCAGATCTCTGTGAGTTTGAGGCCAGCCTGGTCTATAGAGCAAGTTCCAGGACAGGCTCCAAAGCAATACAGAGAAACTATTTCAAAAACTATTAAAATAAAATGGAAAAATAAAAATAAATGTAAGCCAGGTGTGGTGGCACACGCCTTAAATCCCAGAATTCAGGAGACAGAGACAGGTGGATTTCTCTTGAGTTCAAGACCAGCCTGATCTACAGAGTTCCATGACAGCCAAGGCTCTATAGAGAGACCCTGTCCCAGAAAGAAACAAAGGAATAAGCTAGTGAATCTAGATGCAGATGTGCATACTTGGTGGCTGCACAACAGAAATCACCTGGAGAGTCAGGCACTATTAGCTTCCAGGGCCCTCTGTAGAAGTACAAAAGAAACTGGCCCCATTTATAGTCCTGAAGGTCTACTTTTTAAAAAATAAAACAATTGAATTTATTGGCACATGTCTGGGATTAATAAAATTAAAAAAATTAAAATATACAATCCAGCTGGGTGGTGGTGGTGCATGCCTTTAGTCCCAGCACTCGGGAGGCAGAGACAGGTGCAGCTCTGTGAGTTTGAGGCCAGCCTGGTCTACAGAGTGAGTTCCAAGACAGCCTCCAAAGCCACAGAGAAAGCGTGTCTCGAAAAACCAAAAACAAACATACAAACAAAAAACCAAAACCAAAAACCAAAAAAACAATCCTCGATGGACAATGGTGGCACACGCCTTTGATCCCAGCACTTGGGAGGCAGAGGCGGGCCGATTTCTGTGAGTTCGAGACCAGCCTGGTCTCCAGAGCGAGTGCCAGGATAGGCTCCAAAACTATACAGAGAAACCCTGTCTTGAAAAAACAAAAAACAAACAAAAAAAATAAAAAAAGAGAAAATTAAGAAATGCCAGATTATAATGTTATTGTTTTCAGGTGTGTGTGTGTGTGTGTGTGTGTGTGTGTGTGTGTGTGTGTGTGTGTGTATTCTAAAAACAAAAGTCACATGGATTTCGGCTGTAGCTCAGTGGTAGAGTGCCTGTTTAGTATTTGCTAGGCCCTGGGTTGTATGTGACCATATTTTCTGGGTTTTCAAGATAAGGTCTGTGTGTGTGTGTGTATGTTTGTATGTATTTAAGTTATAGTGTGTGTACTTGTATGGATTCACCACAGTGAGAATGTGGAGGTCAGAGAACAACTTTTGGGAATTGGTTCGCTCTTTCCACCATGGGTTCTGGGGGGCTCAGGCTTGCATGGCAAGTGCTTTTATTCAATGAGCCAACTCATCGGCTTCAGTTCAACTTCTTGAAAGTTAACAACTGAGATTTTCCACTTTATAAGGGAATTTCCATTTGTTTCTGTTTTGAATTTTTTGAGTTGAGTTTCATGTAGCCCAGGATGACCTTGAATTCACTGTAAAGTTATGGTTAGTCTGAACCTGATTTTTCTGCTTCTACCTTCCAAGTACTGAGATTACAGGCATGTATACCACCATGCCCAGGCTCATCTTTCTTCCTTCACTGAAATCTTTGATTCTTTGTGTTTATTCATCAGGAAATATTTTAGTGTAAGCTGGGTGTAGGGGTACATCTTTCCTCCCAGCATTTGGAAGGCAAAGGCAAGCAGATCTCTGAGTTTGATGCTAGCCGAGAGACCCTGTCTTTAAATAGCCCATAATTAAGCTGGGTATAGTGGTACACTTTTACTCTCAGCACTCAGGAAGCAAAGGCAATCAGTTCTCTGTGAGTTCAAGGCAAGTCTGATCTCTATAGTGAGATCACCAAATACATACATGTGCATGTATTAAGAATCAGGCATGTGGGAAATACCCTTGAATTAATTGGTACAGGAGACCGCTTCCTGAACATAAAAACAGTAGCACAGACACTGAGATCAACAATTAATAAATGGGACCTCCTGAAACTGAGAAGCTTCTGTAAGGCAAAGAACATAGTCAGCAAGACAAAACAACAGCCCACAGACTGGGAAAAGATATTCACCAACCCCACATCTGACAGAGGGCTGATCTCCAAAATATACAAAGAACTCAAGAAGCTAGTCTCGAAAACACCAAACAATCCAATTAAAAAATGGGGTACAGAACTAAATAGACAATTCTCAATAGAGGAATCTAAAATGGCTGAAAGACACATAAGAAAGTGTTCAACATCCTTAGCCATCAGGGAAATGCAAATCAAAACAACTCTGAGATACCATCTTACTCCTGTCAGAATGGCTAAAATCAAAAATACCAATGACAGTTTATGCTGGAGAGGATGTGGAGAAAGAGGAACACTCCTCCACTGCTGGTGGGAGTGCCAATTTGTACAGCCACTTTGGAAATCAGCATGGCGACTCCTCAAGAAAACGGGAATCAGTCTACCACAAGATCCAGCAATTCCACTCTTTCTGTTTAATTTTTAAAAATTACCTTTTCTGAAGGCTTTGTAACCTGTCTTACTTGGTTTTGGTTTTATGTAATGTATGCCATTTTCCCCCAACATTCCTTTTAAAAAATTCTTTTTTGGAAATGTTTCCTTATTGAGTATGTCTCTGAGGCTTTTGCTAAATGTTGAATATATTCTAAATTTCATTTTCAGACTTCAGAAATAGAGTCAGATGATCACTGTCAAAAAGAACAAGAACTTCTGAGGGAAAACTTGAAGTTGTCATCTGAAAATATCGAGCTGAAATTTCAACTTGAACAAGCAAATAAAGATTTGCCAAGACTAAAGGTTAATTTGATTTTATTATAGTGCCATATTTGAATTTTTGGAAACTTTAGTCGTGCTGTCAATTTTGGAAAAAAGTATCCCAGTTTTTGTTGGGTTGGCATTATACAAAAATTAACAGCCATATTGGTCTAGAAATGTTGAACTTAATTTTTTTTCCATTTGTACAGAGGTAATGCACTGTATTAAATATGTAAGGCCTTAAAAAAAGAAGGGATTTTGAGAACCCATCCCTTGTGAAGGGATGCTCTCTTGACCTGGACACATGGAGTAGGGCCTAGGTCTTGTCCAGGATGATGTGGTAGACTTTGGGGAGCCCCTTTTGAGGGCCTTACCCTGTCTGGGGAGTGGAGGGAGGATGGCTAAGGGCAGGTGGGATGTTGGGGGGGGAGGTGAGGGAGAGGGAGAAGGGATTGATATCTGAAGCAAGCTTGTTCCTAATTTGAACTAATAAAATAAAAAAAGAATCAGGCATTATCATGCTTGGTTTTGCTTATATATAGGATTCTTAGCTGCTTAAAAGTCATTTCAATATATTAATTTTCTGTATCAAACTAAGATAATATCATTCAGAGGTAGAAGCAGAGGTAGGAGGATCACTTTAATTTTGAGGCCAGCCTGATGATCTACACAGTGAATTCCAGGCCAGCCAGAACTACAGGAGACCATGTCTCCAAACAACACTAAACCCAAATGAGCACTTTTTACTTTAGTAGAGTGGTTTTTGACATTGCAAGTGGGAACCCTTTCATACTGGATCAATGACCTCATAAAATACTCAAATTTTATGAGTTAAAAGGAAGTGACCTGAGGTAAGGCAGTCTGGTTCATTTTATCGGTGCATATTTCAAACGATGAACACTGGAGTAATGCTTACTGACCACCTATGCCAGAGGACCACAGACTAATTTTTATGGGTACAAGAATATAAATATGTACAATTTTCTTATAAAGAAATGTCTTGATTTTATTACCCCTTATGAAATAAAGGCGCTGTGAAAATACAAAAGGTGAATGCTAGTTATTTTTCTAACATTAAATCACCTTCCTCTTTTAAAATGATCACATTCTATGAACAGATGCCTGCTGGCATAGCCGAATACAAGGATTAATTAGCAAGTTCTAGAAGTTATACTCCAAGGAAGACCATTCTATAAAGGCTGATCATTTATTTATTTATTTTTTAAATCTATTTTTATTTTCTGTGCATTGGTGTTTTGCTTGCATGTATATCTGTGTGAGGGTGTTGGATCCTGGAGCTACAGCTGTGATCTGCCATGTGGGCACTGGGGATCGAACCCGGATCATCTGGAAGAGCAGTCAGTGCTCTTAACCACTGAGCCATCTCTCCAGCCCCAAGGCTAATCATTTAGTTAAGACATTTATACATAGTGACCATTACCATGAGAACAAACCTTAAGGTAAATAGACTTCTTGAAGGTCATTAATACAAAAAGGACTGAAGTTGGAACTGGAGAATTGTGAATGACAGGTAAGTGCCTACCACATCTCTAGTTCTGCAGTGTTTCTTAACCTAGAACTGAGTGATGTTTATGTCATTCAAGCGAACTTAATTATCTCAGCTTTTGGCTTTCAAACAGAACTTTAGAAAATATCTGTCAAGAAAATAGTTTTGAAAGTGCTTTCTCTTGAGTTCTTTGGTATAATTTGGTCATTCTGATAGTAATTAGGCCATTAAGTAAGTACTTTAACCATGTATCAACAAAAAGGCAATGAGTATGCTTAGAAAACCACAACTAAAGAAGAAATTATGTTGCCAACCTTGTGAAAAACAAACTCTAGTATTTTTACTGTGTTTCTGTGGCATAGCTAGCTCTGCTGCCTATGACAACATTGCTAATTTGATTTATAAGAAATGTTACATACAATATCCTGTTATTTTTCGATTATTCCAATAGCTGTTCTATATACTTTAGAAGAGGCAAGTTTTAGCTTGAAAAAGAATAATTTCAAATTACATAAAGTTACACTCCTTTGTACTTTCTGATCACCAAGCATCAAAATTTAATGTCAGCACAAAGTTAAGAATTGGTTTGGAGCTAATTGTCCTCCTGCAGCATCTTTTCAATTTCTTTATCCCAGTTTTCATCTCGCTTCTCCGACTCTGCTACTACTTCATACTCCTGAAGCTCCTGTTGTAGCTCCTTTTCCCAATCGGCAGAATCTTCTATAGGAAACAAAGGGAGAGGTAAGAAAGGTGTTCTTTGAATTAATAATACTTGTAACAATTCATTCAACTGTAATACATGACACAAGGCCTAGCCATTTCTTTCTTTGTAGTACCAGGCATAGGAACCCAGGGCCTCAGACATTGCTAGGTAAGCACTTTATTATTAAGCTATATTTCCAGCTCCCATTTCTTCCTCATTTTAAAACTACTTTGTGTGTGTGTGTGTGTGTGTGTGTGTGTGTGTGTGTGTGCAGGTACACAGGTGTTCAAGGGCATTTGTGGAGGTCAGAAGGTAATTTCTAGGATCTGGTTCTCTATTCCTACCATGTGGGTCCTAGGAACCCAACTCGGATCATCAGGCTTGGCAATGAGCATGGTTACCTGCTGAGCCATCTCTCTGGCCTTGTCTTTGAAACAGGGCATCATGTATCCCAGGCTGGCCTCCAACACAATACTGGCTGAGAATGACTGTCAATTTCTTTTTTCTTTTATTTATTATGTATACAGTATTCTGTCTGCATGTATCCCTGACGACCAGAAGAGGGTACCAGATCTCATAACGGATGGTTGTGAGCCACCATGTGGTTGCTGGGAATTGAACTCAGGACCTCTAGTGCTCACAACTTCTGAGCCATCTCTCCAGCCCAACTGTCAATTTCTAATCCTCCTGCTTCTACTACCTGAGTGTTGGATTTATCACATGTCTGATACTGAACCCAGCACCTTGAACCTAGTATGCATAGGATAAGGCACTTACTGCAGAGTGTTATAAAAATAAGAGAAAAAGCCAGTTGGTGGTGGCGTATGCCTTTAATCCCAGCACTCGGGAGGCAGAGGAAGATGGATCTCTGTGAGTTCTAGGCCAGCCTGGTCTACAAGAGCGAGTGCCAGGATAGGCTCCAAAAGCCACAGAGAAACCCTGTCTCGAAAAACCAAAAAAAAAAAAATGGCTATTTTAAAAAGAAGGTGAGACAGCATAGCAGGATACCTGTAATCCCAGCACACAGGAGGTGGAGGCCAGCAGGCTAGACAATGAGAGTGAAACCAATCTGGGCTACAAGAGAACCTGTCTCAACCAACACAAAGCTAGGGTTGGGAATGAGTGAGGCGTAGCAAAGCCCTGGATTCACTCCCCCACCACTGTATAAAAAGTAAAGCTAAAATTCATTTTTAGTTTGTTTTTCAGACAGGATATTGCTATAAAGCTCTGGCTGGCCTGGAACTCAACCATATAATTCAGGATGGCTTCAAATTCATGTCAGATCTTCTGCTTTACCTTTCTAAGTGCTGGGATTACAGAAGTGTACACTACCCACCTAATTTGTTGATTGGATTTATTATTTTTCTGAGACAGGGTATCATGTGGCTAAGAGTGGCCTCAAACTTCTGATATTTCTGTCTCTACCTCCTGAATACTGGGATTACAAGTGTGCACCACCATATATGTTTTTTAATAAAGATTTTATTTATTTATTATGTATACAGTCTTCTGTCTGCATGACAGCAGGAGGCACCAGATCTCACTCAAGGTGGTTGCTAGTCACCATGTGGCTGCTGGGAATTGAACTTAGCCATGTGTCCAGCCCCCATATATGGTTTTGTATGCTGCTGGGGACTGAACTCAGGGCCTCATGCAGGCTAGGTAAGCACTCTACCAAGTAAATTACATCCCTAGCCTCTGTCTACCGGCTTTAAATTGAGATTGGAATTAGGAAAAAGAACAAAGCTTCTCTCTCTCTCTCTCTCTCTCTCTCTCTCTCTCTCTCTCTCTCTGTGCCTGTGTGTGTGTCTCTCTCTCTCACACACAGACCTGTCACTAACATCTTGCATTTTATCAAGTACAAGTTGCTCCATTTCTTTTCTTAAATCCTCCTGGTTTAAGTTGCAGGTATCAAAGGCATCACTGACAAATTCAGAAACGCTCGGGCTGGTAGAGATTTCCTCTTCCTCCTGAAATGCAACCAAAGAGCTCTTGAAATGGATTCTAAATGACAACCATGCCTCATAATTTAACACAGTCTCTTTTTTTGTTCTTCTCTGCTAGCTGTAAGACAAGGCTCACTGCTCTCCAACCTTCTAACTGGCAGTTGCTTGGTAACAGAGTGAGTTACCACCTGAGGCTATTATTCTCCCTCACTGTTTAGATCACTCAAACTGTTCTCTCTGATTCCTGATGAGCACATCTAGAATTATTTATGCCAGGAAATCACCTCAGCTCTCAGCTACAGGCCCTTGACTATTCAAGTACTGGACTCCTCATCTTGCAGGCATAAGACTGACACTCTCAAGCAGTTTTAAATGGTATCAGAGATGGTTAACCCAGTAACTTGATTTTCAGACATCATCTACTAGGTATAATGTAAAACTGTATTACCTCTTGAGTTTTTAGTTGAGATTTGATTACGACAGGTGGTGTTTTGGGCCGTACTGCCTCTATGAAGTGAGAATAAAAGAGACAATAATTGCTTCGTTTACTTTTGAATGCATATCATAAGAACAGCTAAAATATCCACAGATATGATATTAAATCATTTTCAGAAATGAGCTTTTATGGTACATTTTTAGCTCTCTTGAAGTTATGACATGATAGAGCCAGGCACTACCATGTGAACCTCCTACTTTGGTGAGGGTCCTTTTGTTTTATCTATTTACACACAGAATCTCATTATGTAGCCCTGACTACCCTGGAATCACAGAGATCCACATGCCTCTGCCTCCTGAGTGCTGGGATTAAATATGTGCACCACCATGCCTGGCAGGAATGTCATTTTAAATCTGCAACCACATTCAGTATCCTTATATGGAATTTTCATTAGGAAATCATGTTTGGACTTCAATGTCAGCAAAATTGATTCTGTGCTTTCTTTTAGGATACTAAGAATGAAGCTATTTATCAAGCTTCCCTGTTACCAACCAGGTTAGAAAGCACAAAGGAAAACACAATACCTCGTCTCAGCATTCTGCTGGTTATCCTGTAAAGATTTAAGTGTGTGTGTGTGTGTGGGGGGGGTTATGTGTGTGTCCCCAGAAGCCAAAAGAGGGTGTTGAATACCCTGGTCCTGGAGTTACCGGCAATGTGAACTGACTAATGTGGGTGTTGGAGACTGAACCTGAATCCTCTGTAAGAGCAACACTCACTCTTAACTGATGAGTCATCTTTCTAGCCCTTCTGCTCTTTAAAAAAAAAAAGATTTTATTTATTATGTATACAACATTCTGCTTCCATGTATATCTGCACATCAGAAGAGGGCACCAGATCTTATAACGGATGGTTGTGAGCCACCAGGTGGTTGCTGGGAATTGAACTCAGGACCTCTGGAAGAGAAGTCAGTGCTCTTAACCTCTGAGCCATCTCTCCAGGCCCCCCTTCTGCTCTTTATTCTATTAACCACGCTGACAGTCCTTACTGAGTACTTTTAGGTCTACTTTGTTAAATAGGCAGTCTTTGGGGGAAATGGCTTTCTTTTTTTTTCTTTTTCGGCAGTGCTGGTTATTGAACGTATTATCTGCACATATGCTAGGTAAGTGCTTTACCACTGAGCTATATTCCCAGTGTAGCATTTCCCAGTAACATAATTTAAGAAAGTCAGGAATGGTAGCCCACACCTGTAATCTAAGCATTTTAGGGGCAGGAGAGGAGGATGGCTTAGGAGTTCAGCACTAGCTGGGGTTACACAGTGAAACCCCGTCTTAAAAAGATACCTTCTAAAAACCAAAAACCAACCATAATTTAAGGATATTGCTAAAGAATGAAAGTTCACTGGGATTCATGATACCTGTATGCAACTTGCCCTGAGTATAGTTTCAGAGCCTCTCCTAGTAGTTTGCACAAACTGTGTCTTGTCTCATGACATACTTACATAAAATTCCATAAACTAAATTGCCCCACTTCTTATCAGATGATTCTATTGATTATTAGGACACAACTATACACACATCGGGCACTCATGAAAATAGTGATATAGCTCAGTAGAGTTCCTGCCTAGTATTTTCAAGGCACTGGGACCCAATCTCGGTGCCATAAAATAAATATATAAAATATTATACTATATATATGTATATATATTAGTATTTATTTCTACTTATTTTGTTTGCTTGGTTGGTTTCTTTTTTTGAGACAGGGTCTTTCTGCATATTTCAGGTTAATCTGGAATTCTCTGTGTAGATCAACATGGCCTCCAACTCAGAGATCTTCCTGCCTTTGCCTCCAGGGTGCTGGGATTAAAGGTACATGCAACCATGCCCAGATTTTTATTTATGTCTGAGTACCCATGGAGGTCAGAAGAGGGTATCAGATCTCCTGAAACTGGAGGTACAAGGGACTGTAAGCCATCGATGTGGGTGGTGGGACCTGAACTCGAGTCCTTTGGAAGAGCAGGAAGCGCTCTTAATTGCCAAGTCAACTCTTCGACCCTATATTAGTATCATAGTTCATCAAATAGTTGCTGATATTATAATAAAACTTGTTCCCTGGCAAACAGGGGTAATACATCACAGGAGGAAAGTACCAGATGTTTAATAGGTACTTGTAATTGGACTGGAATAAGGACTACCAGGTTCTATAACGGTAAGGTCCAAGGAAATCGGGATGAATTGAAGTCTGAGAAACATCTGGCCTTGGTAGCACATGCCTGTAACCCTAGCACTTAAGATATGTAGGCAGGAGGATCAGGAGCTCAAGGCCAGCCTGGACTACATGAGACCCCAAAACAAAGCCCTTTGAGGGGCAAGAAAAGAGATGCAGAGAAGAAGATTGTCATTCAAGAGTAATAAAAAAAGAAGCCTGGTGCTGGCAGTACACCTTTGGTCCTGGCACTCAGTATGCAGAGGCAGGTGGATCTCTGAGTTCAAGGCCTGTTGGGTCTACAGAGTTAGTTCCAGAACAGCCAGGACTACAGAGTCATGAAAAAACAAAAAAGAACCAAGAATGAGATAGCAAAACAAACAAACAAACAAATCACTTGGAGAAGACACATGTAAGCTGGACCAGAAAGGGCAGCAAAACAGAAAACTTCCTTTGGAAAGAAAAGAATGTTTCTGTACAGAGATGTCAACATTTTTTGATGCATACAAGATGACAAGCTCATTAGCATCTCTAAGCAAGAATTTTACATCAATTCTTTTCTTTTAGAAAGATCTCTTTCCCCCCAGAATGTACCTGTCAGAGGCAAATCATCCTCTCTGCTGCTTTTCTCTTCCTTTCCAGAGGCTTGCTGCTGGGCGGCCAGTGCTGTGAGTTGGGCTGACTGCTTAATTAGGGAGATGCGGTAGAAATAGTTCCTCCAGAATACTTCTTCCTTCACACTTTGATAGACAGTGACACATGTGAGAATGTGAGGGTCAAGGGCACACAGTATAGTATAGCAAAGCCTAGAATAGATCATTACTTATTTGTCTCTGGGCATGTAGGGTTTCATGTACTGCCAGGCAAGCCTGCACTCTACTACCAATCTAAAGCTCCAGCCTGAGTGCTTTCAGTCCTTGTGAGGGCCAAAGGAAATGATCATTTGCTTTAAAGCTAAACAACAGGGTATGCCGAGCTATAGTCTTCACAGAAGCAAGACATGAGTTATACAATGCTCATGAACTATCAGTATTTCCTGGTGCTTCTATTTATGCTATTAATGTTATTCTATGTGTACAGGTGTTTTGCCTGCATGTATATCTATGTATCACATGTATGCAAGGCCCATGGAAGCCAAAAGAGGGCATTGGATCCCCCTGGAAGCGGAGTTACAGACTGTGGTGAGCTACCATGTAGATACTGGGAATTGAACCTGGGTTGTCTAGAAAAGCAGCCAATGTTATTGACTGCTGAGCCATCTCTCTAGTCCCTTTTTAAAAATTATGTGTATTTATAATGTGTGTATGTACATATATGCAGGGTCTATAGGACAACTTTCAGGAGTTCTCTTTTTCTGCCATGTGGGACTAGAACTCATGTGGTTTGGTAGCAAGTGCCTTTACCTGCTGAGCTATCTTGGTGGCCCCCTATTTCTTAGTATTTTAATATATAGATTTGACCCTTGGCAGAAGGAAACAAGACATTCATGTGTTGCAGTATGACGAACCAGGGGGACATGAAGCTGAGACAGGACACTATGGGTCCTTTGCTGTTTTCTAAAGGATTATATGCTTTTATGTAGTGGGAAGAAACCATCGCAAATGTTGTTCCTTGTTTTCTACTTTCCATGTGTTTATATGTGTGGGTATATATGTCTGAATGTGTGTGAGCACATATATACGTGTGTGTGTGTGTGTGTGTGTGTGTGTGTGTGTGTGTGTAGGTTCAATGTTGAATATGGATGGGGAACATCCCTCAACTGTTCTTCCACTTTATTATGTATTGAGGTAGGATCGCTCAATCAAACCCTGAGTTCAATGATACAGCCAGTCTAGATATGGCTAGTCTGGTTGGTCGGCTGGCTTCAGGATCCCATGTCCTCTTTTCAAGGCTGAACCACACCCACCTCGAATCCACATGGGTCCTGAGCATCTGAACTCCAGTCCTAATGCTTGCCAGGCAAGTGTTTAACTGATGAGACATCTCCCCAGCCCTTGCTTGTTTTTTTAAGATTGAGTCCTTTTGGGCAGTAGTGGATCATGCCTTTAATCCCAGCACTTAGGAGGCAGAGGCAGGCAGATCACTGTGAATTTGAGGCCAGCCTGGTCTACAGAGTGAGATACAGGACAGTCAAGGCTACATAGAGAAACCCTGTCTTGAAAAACAAAACAAAACCCAAAAAAAGATTGAATCCCATGTATCACAGACTGGCCTCAAAATCACTACATAGCTAAGGTTGACCTTCATCTCCTGATCCTCCTGTCACCATCACTCAAGTGCTAGGACTACATGTTTTTGCTACCACACCTGGTTTGAGGTTATTCCTTAGGAAATATTCTTGCTAAAGTAGCTAGCAACTAGTAGAAACAGAATGAGAGATGTTATAAAGGCTTTGGGTGTGGGGCAGAATTGGGGATAGAACCCAGGGCTTTCTGAAAACTAGGCAAGCACTCTACTACCAAATTATACCCCAAACCATCTGGGAGATGGCTGATAAAGACTCAAGTTCTATTCAACCTGAGAACTCAGTGGTTCTCAAACTTGACTGCATATTGGACCTGCCTGGCTTGAGGCATTGGTGCCAAGTAGAGTATGGTAGGTACACACAATAGGTGGCCTAGAAAGGACACTAAGAACAAAGCAGAAAGAGAGTGGTATCTGAGTGGAGGATGAAGGGGAGTTAGAAATGAGAGCTTAGTAACATGCAGGGGATTGAAAAAGAAAAAAGAAAAAAATTAAAGGTCACAGAACCAGGCTTCTCACTGCCAGGCAGGGAGTTACAATCATGGCAGAAGAAAATGAGTGTGATCCTTATTGGGAGGTATTCCTGTGGACATAGTTTCATTCCATGGAGACAACAGCATGTGTACACCTCCTAGCTGTATCCTTTGATGGTGAGGAGTGACACCCCAATGATGCTCAGTTCTTGATTTCTACATGTAATTTTCTGAAAACCATTATTATATTAATATATGCTAATAAGGAAGAATAAAATTTCATTTTCCACTAAAAGGTATCAGCACTTTCTGAATATATAAATGGCAGATCCCAGCAGGGCATTGGTGGCGCATGCCTTTAATCCCAGCACTTGGGAGGCAGAAGCAGGCGGATCTCTATGAGTTTGAGACCACCCTGGTCTATAAGAGCTAGTTGCAAGACAGCCTCCAAAGCCACAGAGAAACCCTGTCTCAAAAAAACAAAAAAAAAGGCAGATCCTAGGATTAGAAGAAGGTAAAAATAAATGAGCTTGGAGCTTGTTGTGGTGGTCCACACCTTTAATCCCAGCACTCAGGAGGCAGAGGCAGGTGATCTCTGAATTTGAGGCTAGCCTGGTCTACATAGCACCAAAGGATACAGATGTAAATTTTGCTAGGCTCCCAACTGTCAAAGTGATGATGATTTGAGCATCAAAATAATAACAGATTACAACCCAGTGCATCAAATGCATGAGACAATATGGATATAAATACAAGAATATATGGAAAATTTGAAGATGAATAGAATGAAGTTTCAAAGTCCCTAAGGGGTCAGTGAAATGGTTCAGTGGCCAAATGTACTTGCTGCTAAGCCTAATGAACTGAGTTTGATTCCTGGGCTCCATATGGCTGAAGAGAGAATTGACTCCCACAGGTTGTTCTCTGACTCCCTAGATACTATGTCATCATTAAGTCTTTTAATGCTGATATATAGCTCTATTGGTAGAGCACTTGCCTAATATGCACAAAGTCCTAGGTTTGATCCACAGGCACGGTGGGGCACATGGCTGTAATCACAGCACTCAGATGGAGGCAGGCAGGAGGATAAGAAGGCAAAGGCCATCCTCAATGACAAAGCCAGTTCCTGGCCAGCCTGGGATACATGAGACACTGTTTTAAACACACATGCGCGCACACACACAAAACCCCTGAAGTCTCTATTCACAAAATATTAATTACCTTTTCTTTTCTCTCCTCCCAACTCCCCTTGAAGTAGAGACTTGCTCTATAGCTCACCTTGAGGTCTTTATGTATTATCAGCCCAGGGCTGCTGTGAACTCTTCTCCTGTCTCAGTCTCCTAAGTGCTGGAATTAAAGGTATTTGCCTCTGACCCCCAGCTTTTTTTTTTTTACTTGTTATCATGTGCTTGCAGTACTTGCAGAGACCAGAAGAAGATATTAGATCCCTTGGAGCTGGACTGGCAGGTGGTTGTGAGCCATCCAATGCTGGCATTGAATTCACTATGTAGTCCACAGTAATCTTCCTCCCCAGTTGTAGGATCAGATGTACACAACTATCAGATGTGCCCAGTTCTAATTATTATCATAATTATTTGAGACATGGTCTCAAAATGTGGCCCAGGCTAGCCTTGAACTTGTTATTCTGTTTCTGCTTCCTGAGTGTTGGTTCTCTGCTTCTTGAGTGTTGGTATTATGGGCCTTGCCATCATGCTCAATACTAATCACTTTCAAAGAAGAAAACAGTAATTTTACAGTGAAGAAGCCTGCCAAACAGCACCTTCAAGTGAACAAAGTATGAATATACTGGGACAAATGGCAGTGTGCCTCACACAAGGTGCAAATGATGAAAGTAAACTGATGAGACATGAGAACTATTATATTAATCTATTAATAATACATGTAATCTATTATATTAACTGGATTCTTTGTTAATTGGATTCTTTTGCTAAAAAGAACATTAGAACAAATAAAACATTTAAAAATAAGGTCTGGAAAGCAGATTATAATAATGTGAGATCTGCTAGTCACTTGTGACCTGATTTGATAGTCGCACTGGGGTTGTGGGAAAGAATGAGTGTCCATAGGGGAATATATAATAAAGAATTCAGGGTTGGACTTCAGGGCTTGGTGATGGAACAATTGTTTACAATGTGCTAACCATGTGCAAGGCTTTGGGTTCCATCTCTAGTACCCCTTCCCCACAAAAAAGAATCAAAGTCCATGAGACATCAGGTTTCAAATTACAAAAAAGTTCTCTGGGAGGCTGAGGCAGAAGGATCCTGAGTTCAAGGCCAGCCTGAATGACACAAGAGACTGTCTAAAAACTAAAAATGGCCGGGTGTTGGTGACACATGCCTTTAATCCCTGGACTTGGGAGGCAGAGGCAGGCGGATCTCTGTGAGTTCAAGGTCAGCCCGATCTACAGAGCAAGTTCCATGACAGGCTCCAAAGAAATACAGAGAAACCCTGTCTCAAAAAACCAATCCCTTCCCCCCAAAACAAACTAAAACTGAAAACAAAAAAGCAACAATAAGAACAATAACAGGAGGCTAGAGAGATGGCTCAGTGCTTAGGACCACTTGCTGCTACTTCATGGGACATGAGTTTGGTTCCTAGCACTCATGTAGGGTGGTTCGCAACTGTCTATAACTCCAGCTCCTGAAGATCTAATACCCTCTTCTGGACTCCCCATCAGGTAATAGTACTTGTCATACAACCCTGGTGACCTGAATTTGATTCCCATGTAAAGGTGGAAGGAGAGAACCAACTCCATAAAATTATTCTCTAACCTCAAAACTGAAGGCAAGACACTTGTACCCATATACACACATTGGGCATGCATACACACACACACACACACACACACACACACACACACACAAATTAATGAATTATAAATGGTCTTTGTGGGTGCTCCAGTGGCACAATCAGTTATCACGTGGTACTTACACAAATGGTCTTTGTATTGCATTCAAATCTAACTTTCATTGTTTCAAAATAATAATTTTTAAAAACTGATGACTATTCTCTCAATTAAATTATAATCTCTAGTTTGGAAGACAAACCTAAACCGAATCAAGGGTACACATCATGGAGCTTAGTTGGAAGGCACAAAGCCCTGGGTTCTAACCCCAGCACCATATAAGCTGGGTATGGTGGCCTAAATCTGTAATCCCAGAATTTCAGGGTGGAGGCAGGTGAATCAGAAGTTCAAGGTCCAGACCAGCAAGGAATATGTGAGAACTTGTTGCCAACCAACCACATAAAAACAAAAGCAAGCCATCATAAACAAATGTGGAGTTTCTAGATTTTCCTTCTCTGAGTGTCACTCTGATTGCCTTGGATACTCTTTCTGAACAGTCACTTAGAAATTGAAGGGCTGGACTGGGCAGTGGTGGCACATGCCTTTAATCCCAGCACTTGGGAGGCAGGGGCAGGCTCACTGTGAGTTCGAGATCAGCCTGGTCTACAAAGTGAGTTCCAGGACAGGCTCCAAAGCTATGCAGAGAATTGAAGGACTGTTCAAAATGTACATTAGTATGTGTCAGCACTTCCTTATGGCAGCCTGAACCCAGCCAGTGCCCTGCTGCTATATCACACACTTTGAAGCCCTCTGATAGCAGGGGAGATGCTACCAGTCTTTTCCAGCCACAGGCTGACATATGCCCAGTGTTACATAAGTGTCCACAGGCTTCTAACACCTCAAATCCAACACAAAAGCAGAAATGGATTCATGTTTAGGAGCTGCAGCTGTGCCCAGTAGGTTTCTTAATCAGAGGACCTTTTGGAACTTTTACAATGTCATCTGGAGTGTGATTCTTCCCCAGAGGGTGATACACAAGTTTTCTGCAAAGTGTCTGCCTCTCTTACATCAAGAGGGAGGGAGTCTGGCAAAGAAGGAAGTCCAAATGGTTGTTTTTGTTCATCAAAAGAGCAAACAGAGCCCATGAGTCATCACAGAGACATTAGCACACCCAAGGTTTGTTCATGTGGGATGTTTCACAGAGCTCAGAATTAAAAGTGGCCTTGAAGATACTTAGGCAGCCTGCTTCCTCAACTTTTTTTCCCCTTTGAGACAAAGTTTCACTTAGCCTGTAATTTACTATGTAGCCTAGACTGGCCTCAAATTAGTAGCAGTCTTCTTGTCTCAGCCTCCTAAACATTCAGATTATAGGTGTATGTTAGCATGCTTAGCTGCAACTTCAATTTTGCCTGGCTCTGATGTTTTGGCTTAAGACCCTGGGACTTAAAATGTAAACAGGCCCAATTCGTTCCCCCAAGTCTCATAGTTTCTTTCCACCATGTAGCCCCAAGGACTTAACTCAGGTCCTCAATCTTAGCAACAAGTGTCTTTACCCACTGAACCATCTTACCAGCTCAAGCTAGATATTTAAAATATTTTATTTGTATGGGTACTTTTGCCTGCATGTATGTTTGTATAGCATGTGTATACCTGTGCCCACATAGGCCAGAAGAAAGCATCATATCCCCTGGAATTACAGATGGTTGCAAGTCACCATGTGGGTACAAGAAATCAAACCTGGGTTCCCTGGAAGCACAGTCAGTGCTCTTAACCACTGAGTCATCTTTCCAGTCCCCAAAACTAGATTTTTGTAATAGGGTCTCAATATATATCCCAAGCTGGTCTCCAACTCTCTATCCTCAGCCTCCTAAGTATTAGGATGATAGGGGTGTGACATCATGCCCAGTTAAAAATAATTCTTGTGACCATCTATGAGGCCAGAATACTTGTCTTACTCATCCTTTCATCTTTACTTGCCTTATTCATCCTGTCATCCTTTAAAACAAAAGTCAATTCCTAGGGTTTTGTGGGCATATGCAGTAGAGGAATAGATGGTACATTTCTTTATATCTTCAATTAAAAATAGCTATTTTAAGCTGGGCGGTGGTGGTGCACACCTTTAGTCCCAGCACTTGGGAGGCAGAGGCAGGTGGATCTCTGTGGGTTCGATACTAGCCTGGTCTACAAGAGCGAGTTCCAGGACAGCTTCCAAAGCCACAGAGAAACCCTGCCTCAACCCCCCCATAGCTATTTTAGCCACAGTCTAAAGATGAAATTTGTAATGTGATTTTAGCTATACTTTTGTGTGAGGTAAAACTGTAGAAATTTATCTTAGCACTTGGAATGTGGAGGAAGTTAAAGAAAGGAGGACCAAAAGTTCAGGGTAATCCTTGACTGATTCCATAGCAAGACTGAAACCAGCCTGGTATATGGGAAAACAAATCTCAAAAGGAAGGCTGGTTGTAATGGCCCACGCCTTCAATCCCAGCACCTAGCACATAGGAGGCAGAAGCAGGAGGATCCCTGAAAGATTGGGATGCCTGTTCAATAACACAGTCTCAGGCCAGCCAGGGTAACTTGGTAAGACTGTCCCTAGTGGTATGTTTTTGGGAGGTGAAGGTAGGAGATCAGGCATTCATGGTCATCTTCAGCTACATATGGCATTTGAGGCCAATCTGAGTTAGATGCAAGCCTGTCTCAAAAACAAAACAAAGCCAAACAACAATAAAAAGGAATTTGACACCAATATGTTGATAGTTATAGAGAAAAGAGTTTTACTATAGGGGAAAACACAAAAGGTTCTATATAACTGGCTTCCCTAGGCTAGAAGAACTTTGCTAAAGTAGTTTTCTCATATAGACAAAAGACCTGAGCTGCCGCATGGTCCCAAAGACTAGAAAATGTTTGTCAAAATCCTTATTGATCAGCTAAACATGGCATAATGAACATGAACTCATATATTCCCTCTGAAAATACCCCAGAAATCACAGAAGAGGAACTGCATAGATAAATCCATAGACAGTGGAAATAGGAGAGGGCAGGGCAGTGGAAGCTGAAAGTCAACAGGCAAACAAAAATGTACTGTGTGGAGTTGTGCTACCCATGGGATGGGTGGCCAGTATGAAGCAGGCCTGCAGACAGGCCCTGGAATAGGGGCCACAGGTGCCTGTGAGGAGTGGGGAGATGGTTCTACTCTCTCCCATCTTGACCTGTCCTTCCCATGAGATAGAGCTAACAGTTTCTTATGTGGGATTCAGCTTGCCTGTACAGTTGAGACTGGGGCTGTGATGCCCTACTGAAGCTGCAGGGCACAGCCTGCACATAGGTTTGTGTCAGACTAGGCTCTTCTTTGTCTTGCCTGCAGCTGGCCAGGAAGTTGAAGAGTCCTCTAGCAGGAAGCTACCTACTTACAGCTAGTTATGTCTTTCCAGCCATAAAAGCCCATTTTAATATAAGATGCTCAGGTACCCTCAGTGTAGTGCCATTACCTCAAAAGACAAGGGAGGAGACCCTACAACCCAGAAGGCAAAGTTCCAAAAAGTTTCTGAGAAAAGTGCACAAAAGAAGACATTTTGAGACAACTATAAATTGTATCCACTGGGAACGGTTAAGAATTTACAGCCATGAAACAAGGATAAGAGCATTCTAAAAAGGGGACTCTCACAAAAAAAAATGCCAGCTTTATTTGTTTTGATATTATTTTTTGGACAGGGTCTCACTCTATAGCTCAGGCTGGCCTGGAACTCACTATGTAAGTCAGACTGTCCTCAAACTCATAGTGATTCTTCTGCTTCAACTTCTTGAGTACTGGGATGACAAATGTTAATCACAATGCCCTGCCTTTATTTTGTTTAGAAATAGGGTTTCCCACCAGTGAGCCAGGCTGGCCTCTCACAATCCTCCTGCCTCCACCTCTCAAGTGCTAGGATTATAGTCCTGAGCCAAGCCCTGCTTGGAAAGCTGACTTCAAAAAATACGAACAAAATAAACAGCAGTGACAATCATAATCATCATAATAAAAACCAGGCCTGGTAGCTCAGGCCTGTAAATCTAGTTACTTGGGAGCCTGAAGCAGGAGGATTGAAATTTCAAAGTCTTCTGAGGATATAGATCGACTTTAAGACCCAGCTAGGCAACCTAGTAAGACCCTATGTTAGAATAACAAAGTCAAAAGGAGGTCTGGGTATGTATTTCAGCGTTAAAACATTGCCTGGTGTGAGCCAGGTCCTAAATTCAATTTCCAGTACTGCAAATACAACAAAAACCCTACATGAGAGTCAGAGGTAGACAAAGCCACAGGGATGCTGCAGGGGGAAAGGCTGCCCTCTGCTGGCAGGCTGATGGGAAAAGCATCACAGACTATGGCTTGTGGCTTGCTCTGGAGCTTAAAGGGCAACTGGGATTTTATGAGTAGGGAAGGGCCTTTCTTTGGTGGAAGAAAAACCACAAGAAAGAGAATAGAACACAGCTGCTACAGAACCTGAATACACAACATGGATTTCAAGAAAAGGACAAGGGAAGCCTTTACAGAACTGATTTTCTTTGGGTCTATTTGTTGTTTCTGAAGGAAACATGTTCTACCTTAACTTGGCCAACTTTCATGCTTTTCCATTTTGGGGCATGCTGCCAAGCACACAATGCCTCTGAAGGGCTATGCTGCCTGTTTGGATGAACAGATAGTGTCAAGAGGGTTCTGGCCTCCATTCAATGACTCTTCCCTAACACTGTACATGTAATTGGAGCCCTTAGGAAAGTGAACTCTCTATGGTGAAACAGAAATCATCACTGCAGGAGTGAGCAGTGTCTCTCTGACTGAAGGACATGGTGCTTACTGTTTAGGAACGAGGGCGAATCTCATCTTGCTTAGTAGCTCATCCTCTTTGAGCATGACCAGGGCGACAGGGTACATCTGGTCAAAGTCAAAGTTAAAGTGCACACCAGCTGGTGGGTCACGAAGGAAATTCCTCTTGTCCTGTGATGAAAAATGAGGCAAAAATAGGTGGGAGGATCACAAAATGCAATTAATAGGCTATAATGTATCATGGATTTGACACTGATTTTTTTTCTAGACAGGGTTTCTCTGTGTAGCTCTGGCTGTCCTGGAACTTAATCTGTAAACCATGCTGGCCTTGAACTCAGAGATCCCCCCTGCCTTTGCCTTCTGTGTGCTGGGATTAAAGATGTGCATCACTAAGTTTTAACCAAGAATTCAGTCACAAAGTCCATTGAACTGTCACTGACTTGCCCATTTAAAAGAGATAGGAGAATAATCTATCATTCTAAACTTTTTTTGTAACACTTACCTGGACAGAGGCTCCCAGGAGGCCATGCAATTGGTTGAAATCACATAGTTAAAAATAATATAAACAGACTCATCACAGACCAGGCAAGTGATCCCCTGCTTTTACCCAACTCCTGTCCAAAGCGCCATTCACCCAGATCCCCCCAGGTGTGTCCCTGCTTGAAACAGACACGCCCAGGCAGGGAGGAGCTCCCTGAATCTGGGTACAGGCCACTCTTCCTTCCCTTTCCACCAACTCATCACAGACCAGAGTAAGGAGACTACGAGGAGAGGCAAGACCATCCAGAGCTTCGGACATTGAATTCCTGGCCCCCACACACTACAGAGTAACAAGAGGAGATAGAGAGATCCTACCTGCACTCACTGGAAAAAGATATGGGAAGAAGACAGAATGAGAACTCGCTCAACAACAGAAAGACCAATATGACACCACCAGAATCTAGGGACTCCACTCCAGCAAGACCTGAAAATCCCAACATAGTGCATGAAGAAGAGATGGACCTCAAAAATTATCTCAGCAAGATGATAGAGACCTTCAAAGAGGAAACAAGAAAATCCCTTAAAGAAATAGAAGAAAAAGCAAGCAAAAAAATTACATGAAATGGAGGAAAAGACAAACCAAAAAATTCAAGAAATAAACAAATCTCTTAAAGAAGCTAAAGAAACCCAAGATAAAACAACAAAACAAGTGAAGGAAGCTCTTGAAACAGTTCAAAGCATGAAAGCTGAATTAGACACAATAAAGAAAACACAGAATGAGGCGATGCTGGAAATGGAAAGACTGGATAAACGATCAGGATCTAAAGACGTGAGTATAACTAATAGAATCCAAGAGACAGAAGAGAGAATCTCAGCTATTGAAGACTCGCTAGAGGATATACATTCATCAACCAAAGAAAACCTCAAGTCCAACAAATCCCTAACACAAAATATCCAGGAAATATGGGACACCGTGAAAAGACCAAACCTAAGAATAATAGGTGTAGAAGAAGGTGAAGAAACACTGCTCAAAGGTACAGAAAACATATTCAACAAAATCATAGAAGAAAACTTCCCCAACCTACAGAA